AAAGTTTTTCAGTTCGGTTTATCTTTCCATTACTTAAACTAAATAGGTAGAGCCAATATAACATACATAGCAAGTAGAAAAAACTCTAAAGCATATCTGTGTCTTCCATTTGGCCCATTGGATGAAAGTTCACTCCAGATGTCGGCAACAACCCAGTGAATTCACACACCTCAAGAAATCTAAGTACATAAGTGCAAAGAGCATCCAGAAAGTATTCACACTGCTTCACTTTGTCTACATCTTGTTAGTCTTATTCCAAGTTGTATTAAATTAATCTCATTTCCCAAAATCACCACACAAATACCCCACTATGATAATGTGGGGAAAAAGTCTCTAAGTCTTGTTTTAGCAGAACGATGGTGTTGTTGGTGGTAGTTCGTCCAGTGATCGGTGGGTTGCCGGTTCAATCCCAGCTCCGTCTGTTTCAGTCGTGTTCTTGAGCAAGACGCTTCACCTGCCTACCTGCTGGTGGTCAGAGGGCCGGCGGCTGTTTGGCAGCCTTGCCTCTGTCAATCTGCCTGGGGCAGCTGTGGCTACAGTGTAGCAGCTTGCCACCATCAGGATGTGAATGTCTGAAATCCCTCCAAATAACTGATACTGTTGTTTTCCCCCTGAAAACAACAGTATTACACAGCAGTACTCTGCCTGTGTCCGTGCAGACCACCTTACTAAAAGGTGGTTTCTATAAATTATTGCCTCAAATATATTTTGTGCTTTGAATGAAAAGACCAGACATTTCCAAGGTAAATTCTTTCTGAGCCAACTGAATTCTTGGAAGTAACTGGACAAAGGCCATGTCTCTGTCTGAACGTACCTTGTGTGCATGAGGCCACAGATCCTTTTTATGTTCTGATACAATAAATCCTACAATTTAAGTGGTAGAACTTTTTAAATTTGAATGTATAAAAGGTCATTTGCTACTTTAGTTTTTTTTTTTTTTTTTCTTGAAGCAGAAACAATGAGGAACACTGAACAAAAAAATTCTGCTTCTTCTGTTCATCACTTTGACTGCATACAACTGGACGGGTCAAGTTCATCTACTTCTCACAGCACAAAGATAAAAATGGACCAGAAAAGTCCTTAACAGAGACGTAGACGGTTAGCAAAAAGATGGTTAAAGCAGTGAAAGTACATTAAAAATATGAGACTTTTGAACTGGTCAAAAATCCAAACCTTTTTCGATATTCATAACAGACATACTTCTGTCAAATATTGTTCACAAATCTGTCTAAATATGTATTAGCGAGCATTTCTACTTTACCGAGATTATCTGTCCAGGTGTGACATATCAATATGCTGTTTAGACAACATGATTATTGCCCAGGTTTGCCTTTGGCTTTCCGCAATAAGTTTTCAAACTCAAATGTGCAACTACTGCAGGAGAAAAAGTTTTAGTAAGAAAAATATTATTAATTCTGAACTTCAAGACAACTTCAGTCTGCTTTTATTTTTAACAGCTAAAATAAGAAAAAGAAATGAATATTGCGTTGCTAACGTACAGTATCACAACAGCCTGTTATTAGTGATAACAAAGAAGAATATTTGAATTGCATTGAAACTCCCAGTAGCTCATCTCTAAAAAAATAAATCAAAACTTCTGCATACATAAGTCAGATTCCATTTTACTTTGAAAAAAGTGCTGCTATCTGAGAAAATGCAAAAAGTGCTCCTCAAAATAAAATTGATATTTGGAATAAACTAAACAAAGGTTTCATCCATGTCTGTCATAATTATTAGTTTTCAGACGTATGAGGAGAAATAAATTTAGTTTGATAAAGAGCTTCTAAAAAATTCTGGAGGCAGAAAAGAAAAAATTAAAGCAGAGCAACTCAAAATGTTTAGCACTGAGATTAAAACCTTACTGTAAAGGAGATATTTGTTGTAATAAAAGGTTTTATCTAAACCTTTCATAGCAGGAAAAAATAAAAAATAAAACTACAGCTCCTCCTGTTCCAGACCTGCACAGGCGTCTTTTATCTGCAGAAAATCTCCACCCTGTAATGAAGTAAACAGTTTTTGCTTATTTCAAAGACTGAACCAATAAAGCTACTTTGCTTTCATGGAGCAGAAGATGGCCATGTTGAGATAAGCTAGATGAGACTTTGTAGCCAGCACAGTCTACAGTGAGCCTTTAACACTGTCATCTTTAGCCGACACAAACTCAGAATAATAACAGTTTATCCAGCTCCAAAACGCACATCTCTCCTCCTTCCACTGTTGCTTATGGTTGTGTTACTGACTGCCTGGGATGTTTTTCCATGTGAGTTGTCCTTGTGCTGAAAACGTGACTTTGTGTAACGCACACACTGCGACACAACAGAGGAAATATATTGTTTTGGGGTTTTTTCTAAAGGAAAATTATAAAAAAAAATAGTAATTGATAAGTAACTAATCTGATTGTTGGTTTCGAAAAAGTAACGTTAGATAACCTTTTACTAAAAAAAAGTTGTCAAATTAGAGTTAGTGTTAGCTTCAGTGTTTGAAACCAGCAGTGCTATGAAAATCTGTCACTAGTTATATTTCTGTCCAGTTGTCATGTGAACTTTAAGCAAACTGTTAAAATGTCAAAATTATGCTAATGAGGCGTATTTCCATCTGCTTGTTTTGAACAGATCATTCATTTCATAATGTCATCTGATGAAGACGTTATGCATGGCTGTAATAAACAGTTTGTAGTGGTTTTAAACCAGCATGTGCCACACTTTTCAGAAAAATGGAGAGTCATACCCTCCAAGCCTTGAGGTTTGGACGTTTTTTCAAAGTTTTGTGAAGTTATTTTGAATTTTGCCGTTTCCATTGAACCTTTTCCAATGCGGCCCTTCAGAATGTTGCCTGGAACACGTCTTCTCAGAAGTCACAGGCCGATTGTGGCCTTCTGGTGACCTTCTCTCACTGCAGGACTTCAGATCTTCAGCCAGCACCTGAATGTTTTTGTTCGGATGTTTTTCACGCATTTCTCACCCAAACATATTTACCTTTGGATCCATCTCTTCCTGCACAGCAGAGTGGCTGAATAGACCTGTGTTTATACTTGGACTGTTTAAGCAGAAAGTGAAAGTGTCAACAGGAAACAGAACCCACAGAACCAGACCTGTAGAGACCCATCGTTCTTTTCCTGATGTCTTGGACATGTTTGGTGATTTGTTTGGATTTTTTCATGAGGACAAAATGAATCAGAGGAAGTCAAAAAGTTTCCATAGTTTCCACCAGGTTTTCTTTTTGTGACGCTGTTAAATTTGGATGTCATGAACAAATGAAACAAATGGATGGCTGGGCCAGGTATATGTTTTTTTCATGAGTACAGGTTTGATACTATGTTTGATTTATTCTGCAAGAATCAGAGACACATTTTAGTGTCTTTAAATAACTAAATGTTCTCTGAAAACTGTGAGTCACCTCTTACCTGCAGAAACTGCCGCATCTGTAAACTCATTCATCATGAAGGGGAATCGCTATTTGACAAATCTCTCTCCCGCTCTCTGCGTCTGCATGTCTGCAGACTGAATGCGCATAAGGGCCACATGTTCCATCCTCTCTCTTTAGCTGTAGTCATTTGTGGCCATTGTCAAAAGTGATAAATGGGTTATGTGGCTCAGATAAGAGAGAGCAGTGAATTTTTATAATGCATTAAATAGGAGCGAGAGGGCAAGCAGACAGGCAGACTGGGAGGGACGGAGGAACGGAGTGGAGTGGAGCTGGGAAAGTGGGCTGTCATGCTGTGGTGCTGCAGGCGGGGGACCTCTGTCACACACAGTTTGAGCCCCTGCTTCACATCTTTACTGGCGGTTCGTCTGTATTTTCCCTCAGATATCCAGCCATCAGCCCCCTTGAGCTCACAGCCGTCCACTGACTGCTAAGTCATGTGAATCTCCCAGCAGTGTGTGTGTGTGTGTGTGTGTGTGTGTGTGTGTGTGTGTGTGTGTGTGTGTATGTGTGGTTGTGTGTGTGTGTATGTGTGGTTGTGTGTGTGTGGGTGGTGGACGTTTTCAGTGCTTCTCGTTTCTGAATAAAGCACAGTCACTGTAATTTTAGTAATGATATAATGACAATTTCTACAACTTGTCTTCCCTCTTAGGCTGTGATGTCACAAATGTTAACTCCAAAATAAATTCAAAACAAAAACTAAAACTACAACCTTTTATCCTACCTCGCATAAACTCTTAGGCATAAAACGTATACTTTTTTTTTGTTTTGAGTCAAGTAAAATCAAGCGCAAATAAAAAAAATAGAAGTTTCTTAATCAAACTAAGAAAGTTCGATTTGTCATTTGAAAGTTAAATTTCTTCTCCTTTTTATATATATATATATATATATATATATATATATATATATATATGTGTGTGTGTGTGTGTATACAAACGCATGTGTTTATGCTTTTCTTCAGCAGGGTCACTAAAGTTTTTAAAAGGTTCTTTAAAGCCATATTTGTTTGACGTAACATGTATAAACGTCTTTGATTTAGTTTCTCAGGTATAACCTTAATAAGCACTGAGTTGGTTGCAATATGATAATGTATGCTAAAAAGACGTAGAAGGGTATGAATACGTTTGCAAGACTTGTAGTCTCTTGTCACCTAGTTGCAGTTATTGCAAAAGTCAAGAGAAGGGCATGATGATGGTAGGGAATAGAGAGGAAAGATAAAAGAAGGGAAACTGTCTGATGACTGAGTGGACTGCAGTGAGAGGCTGGCGGCGAGGGACTGTGGGTGGTGAGTGAAGGAGCAGCAGGCAGGAGACATTACAGACAGAGCAGAAAATTTGTCAGGTAAGTGCGTCCAGCAATTGTGTAAATGTAGAGCTGATGGCAGGAGAAGCCGAGAGTGAAGAGTGAGGCGTAGTGGCAAACGGAGCCGTTTTCTTCCTCCTAAAGAGCAAGAATACAGGGTTTACCACACAACCTAAAGCTGCTGATTGAGACCAAAAACAGTGGCTGTGTCATTGTTGAGCAGACTGAATAAACAGAATGCATGTAATTTCCTTTTTGATCTGTTTTTATCCCAGAGCGAAAGAAGATTACTGTGACTATTGGAAACCAGATGTCCTACAAGAAGATTTACAATGTTGTTGGATACCTGAAAGGAAGAAAAAACCCAGGTTTGTAAGAAATGAACAAGTATGTGAACAGAGCAAATCATGAACAATATTAAAGCAGGACTCATTAAAAGTCACTGAGTTTTACGCTGCACTGAACCATCAAAACACCCTGAGCATTGGGCTTGGTTTGAGACAGGATGCTTCCTTCACATTCTGATTGAAATAATCTGATAAAAAGATCCAGTTTGTAAGTCAATGAAGTTTGACTTTGGTAGTTTCATTAATTAATGGTCTGTAAACCTTTAAATGACAATGATCTACAGAGAAGATAATTGGAAGCTAACAGACACTTCTAATTCTAACCTTGGTTGGGCCATTTGTATATCTGAGATCATCAAACATATTTTCATAAAACCTCCTTTGGTTATGACTTTATGGCAGGTGTTGCCAAGGGTGACACCATCGGCTTTAAGTTTATGTACCCATTACAAAAAAACAAGTAAAATTTGAGTATTTTTTTGTTTTTGTTTTTTTGAAAACTGCTTTTTGAATTTGCTTGTCTGAAAATAAAATTTGTTTGACAAATTCAACCATTTAGGTGTGACAAAATATCAAAAACAGGGAGGAAATCTGCTTGTACTTGGCAAATTCTTGTCACCACCATGTACATTTGCTGTTTCACACATATTGTTGATATTAATGCTTTCTAGTTATTTCCTTGCAAAACAAAAAGCTTAAAATATTTCTTTTCCAATTTGAAGTTCATTGTTGCCTCTTATATACAGTAAGTTGAGCAGTTTTTGCTCTGAAAGCAATGTCACTTCTTCTAAAAATGGAACAGTGTATCAATTTCTCATGTTACATTAAGGAAAATTTTAAATTTACGAAGGACCTTTACATTTGAGTGAGTGATGTAGCAGCTTAGTTCAGCAAGGTAGAAAATAATATTATATTTTTTTCCTTTAAAAGCTGTGATGGTAAGAAATGAGGACAGTAATAAAAATGAAGCCAAACCTCTTCCACCGTGTGGAAGTAGGCTGCAGCTAGCTTTTAGCATAGCAGCACAGCTAACATTTACAGGAAGTTTGAAAAAAAATAGAAGCTCCACCATCCGTCCATCACCATGCAGATAGCTGCTTAAACACACACAACCTGAACATTTCTTCAATGTGTTTAGATTATAATGTTGAACTTGTAATGCAGGATTTGAGTCCATTGTCGGTCACACTTCATTTTTGCTCCAGGGAATGAATTTTTGACTCGTTTTGTCTCTTTTTCTTTTATTGTCGGTATAAGGAAGGATTTTTTCATCCTGTCCTTGCCTCTCCTCAACAGCCTTCCTCCTTACACATCCTCCCCCTCCACTCCCATTGCTGCGGTGCAACCCTACCTGTCCTGCCCACTCACCAGTGGAAAATTACCTCGCTGATTTACAGTGTGATATTAAGCAGACATAATGGGCCACTAAAACACATAATGTGGATCACAAATCTCCGCAAGTAGCAACACTTCAACTGGTTGTTGGCATTTGATCATATGCATGTTCTACACTAAAACATGAGCAGAATGAATATTCATGCATGCTCGCATCAGGCCTATCTGCCCAGCTTTATGTATTTTATGGCTGCACAAAGACAGGCAGCATCATAATAAATCTTAAAACACTCTTTGCTCCCACGCATGTGAATCCTGCAGTCAAAGCCTCGTACCTTTAAACCAAAGCTTAGTTCTGTTGTAGTTGAGGAGAAGCGACATTGTAGACGAAGTTCTCCATCTGAATAGATATTTAAAATATAATGTTGTAAAATAATCAGTGACCTTTACTTTAACACATCACAGAGTGCTTTTTGGTTCACTGTGAACTGCTTTGGCAGTAACAGCATACATTATCCTCAGGTAATCAGATAATGTAGTTTTCTTCAATCCTCTGATTTTACACAGCATAACGTTCTCAGCATGACCGTTCCTTCCCTGATTGGTTGTTTCTGACCGGGTCGTGTATTTGTACAGTTGGACCACAAAGATTTAAAACTGTCACAACATGGTGACAGTTTTAAAAAATATGTAAAATAAAGAAACATTTTGTAAAAGTTCCCAACAGCAACGTCAAAACAATTTCAAAGTGGTAAATGGACTAAATGTGTGTAGCGTGTGTGCAGTCATTGGACCGCGCTTTACCCTTCATGTTCACACTCATACAAATTACAAAGACTTGTGAGCAATTTGGGACTTAGTACCAAGTTTAGACCTGATGTAAAGAGATCTAAACTTTAGATCTCTTTACATCAGAGAGTAAGTTTGTGTTAATTTCAAACTTAAGCACCAAATTATTATTATTTTTTTTATTATAACAGTTACATTTTGTTTCATCTAATTTTCTGACCAGCACTGTAAGCTATTATTTCTCCGACACTCATGCTTGTGAGAAAACAGATTTGTTTAGACCTCTTGTTGATGTTCTGTCCATTTCTGTTAATCTAATTTTGTAGATTAACTTCTACAAAATGTCTGAATGAGAAGATTAACTAAAAAAATTACCAAAGTATGAAAAGTACGAATACTTAATTTGGCACAAATTGCCTTAAAAGCTTTATCTTCAGGACAGAACTGGTTAGAAAGAAAGTCTTCACCGCTGGATGCATTAAATCACAGCTGATCCTGTTTAACATTCAGCAGTTTGTTTTAGCCAAAGGGCAACAAAAAACATGGTTTCCTCTAATGTTACTCATTCACTAGCAGTTCCGTGATGAAGCATGTCATCTTCTACTGTGTAAAATACATAAAACAAAAAACATGCACACACAAAATCCCTTAAAATAAAAAAAAGTCTGAACTTTGGCATATGACTGATTTGAAGAAGTTCACACTAATTAGTGTTTGTGGGATTTAGCCTGGAAGCTGCACAGCGTTGTGGTGCCAGGATTTCAGTTGAACAAGCAGACAGTCTGCGGTGCGTTGTGCTGCACTGATCAGGTTTCCACTCCAGGAGCGTTTTCCAGGAACCAGGCCTTCAATAACACTGGGTTACAAAAAGTAATTTTTGGAACTTGTCTATGTTTTTCAGTTGAATTAGGACTATTTTGCACTGCTGAATCCAAAAATTATTTCCATTTTTCTCAATCATGTTTTTATTCTAATTTGATTTAGATAAATCCAATCTTCTGACTAAATTTATTAAATTTTTGTGACATTATCAATTCATTTCTGTTAATATTTCTCATCCGAAAAAAGTTTTAGGAGAAAAAAAAAAGTTTTCTAACAGAGTGTATTAATTAAATGTTACAAACTTGGATAATAAACACAGGTGCCTACATGTAAATTGAATATTACGTCTCCATCTCTTTTCTCTCCTGATGGAGTCTCTCCTCCTGCTCATCACTCATTGATCAGATTCTCAGGAAACTGATCCAGATGTGAGAACAAGTCATGCAATTTGATGCTCATGTTGCTCCATAGTTCATAAAGTTCACCTGATTGAGCAAAATCAAAATGATTTTTAGATTCAGCTCATCAAAATGACCCTACAACAGTTGAAAACCCGACAATTTATTGGCTGTTGACCAGCATAATTCATATATGTAGAAATGAATCTGATCCATGGCTCACATTTTCTGTTAACTATTAACTGTTTTTAAGACACTGGCGCCTGATTACAGCTGAGAGAGAGAGGAAGTGAAACTAATAATATGGGGCTTAAAAGGTTTATGTCCCGGAGCAAAAATAAAAACATCAAGCATCGGATTATTAAGATTCTTAAGAAATTATGGACTATTGCTGCTGGGTGTGTTTGTGTGTGTGTGGCTGTGCTCCTTTGGGACACATCCCACAGGTTTAATTTATTTAATATCTGTGAATGTTACAAACTTGCTCTGACTTTGAAGTGCCTATAATTCAGTTTCACAGAGTAAATCCTGTGAAATGATCACCAGTTTATGGCTGGAACACCAGCTTTATTTCCCCAACAGCAGCTGTCGCTGCTCCTCTCTTCCATCCTCTCCACTAAAGTGAGAAAACGCGGAAACTGCTCCAAGATTTGTCGATAGATTGACTTTCGTGGCAGCCGCTACCAGTCGGAGTCTTTCATTTGTTCAAATGTTTGGGATTGGACTACAAAGATGTTATCTTGGATCATGTAGGATGGATTCTCTGGTAATGGTGATGTAATGCAGCCCATGAGGAAACAGCCACATGAAGGGGGAAGGACGCAATCTCATAACAGATAACTGGATACAGCAGGCTGTCAGTTTGTCATTGCTAGTAATAATAATACATTTTATTTGTATGGGACTTTTCTAAGTGCACAAAGACACATTGCAGGAGTACAATAACAGAAAATCAAACTGGTGAAGAAGGCCCACACAGACTCCATTTCCTGAGAGTCCTCAGGAGAAACTAAAAACTGCTGGTGTCCTTCTGTCGATGCTCTATTGAAAAAAAAAATCATCTGCTGTTGTCTGTGTGTGGGTCTCCAGCTGGAGCAGTGAGTTACATGGTGGGGTAGCGATGGAGAAGGCTCTGTTTCAGGTGTGGAGCTTGGTATAAACCAAACGCATCCTGTAATTTTCCATCCACTCCACAATTATGCCAAACTTTATGATGCTCTGGCAAAAAGTCCACAAAAAATAAATGGAAGCTTGTGGTTGTAATTTGGACTCAATATGAAAAAGGAGTATGAATACATTAGCCCTTTCATGCATAATGGTCACTGCAGTGGACAGCTATCTAAAAGCCATTAACGTGTTTTTTTTTTTTTTTGATATAAATGCACAAACACCACTTAAGTGAACACTAGTGTGCACCATCAACTACTGACAATTCACTGCAAGTGCAAGAAAATTTCTGTTAAATCCAAAAAGGCAGACAGACAAAAATCAACTCAGGAATATCCAGTTCCTCCTTCTACTATAGAGCAGGTTGTGACATCATTGTGACATCCAGTAGCCCCTCAAGACTAACACAACTGATGTATTTTCCAAATAACTTTCTATTTGGAGAAAATTACAACTGATCACTTAGAAAAATATATATGATTTTTTTTTTTCTTTTTACACATTTTTCCCCACCTTTTTTTATGGCTTAAAAAAATCAAAATCAGTTTGGAAAATAAATTCTGACATAAAGGATCATAATTCATGCATGAAAGATTTAGTAAGAAATGTGACCACAGGGACATTTGAACATGAAAACAGTTTTGATGGATAAAGCAAGTTGTGTTGTTGACATTATGCTCACAGCTGAGAAAATGTGATAACTACAACTTATCTAACCAGAGAGGCCGGGACGCTGCATGCTTCATGAGTCGGCAAATGTTTCATCATAATAACTCATGATGACTAAAACTGATACAAAGCAATCTATTGGTGTGTGTTTTAAACAGCTTTCTGTTGTAATTTTAAAAATCTTAAATCTTCTTTTAGTGCATGACATTAAACTTGTTTCCTGTGTCTCATCCTCTTCATTCCATTTTCTGCTTAGCTGAGGTCAGACAGCTACACTTTCTATAGTTACATCAGGAATATTTAGCATTTAGGATTTACTTCCCATAATAACAATATTTTTATTGCACTTTTTCCACATTGAGATGATCAAATTATTGAATGCCAACACCAGCAATAGAACAGAATTGCACTATAAATTCATTGCTTTTTACATATTTACTGAAATCAACTCCACATTTATTGTCAGCGGAGGAAAATAAAGCCAGGAAGCCTGATGGTGTTTAAATATTGAACAGATGGTGGCTCTGCTGTGGAGAGGTTGCCTTGTCCCCCTGTCATTTTCCCAACATTATCATTGTGTGCTTCTGTGAATGCAGATATTTAGTGATGTTCACAACAGGTGTGCATCATTAAGTTGTTCAAACAGTAAGTGACCTTGCGGTGCGAAGTGTGAGCTCATCGGTGTCTGTGTCTGGAGGCAGCGCTGCTGCCGCAGATGAGTCGCAATTTAACATTTTTATTTTGCTGAATTATTATTTTTGAAAATAATTCTGCGGCCTGGCTTAGCAGGTGGCAGCTTCCATTTCAGACGAGAGGGGCAGCGGCTACGTCTGAATAGACAGTTTGTCCTTTAAATGGATGAAAGCTCTTTAATCAGAAGGAATTAGAGCAACATGCTGCAGAGAGAATATGAAATAACATTAGGTACTTTGCCTAATGTGTTCTTATCAAAAAAGGTTATTATAAATGTATCATCTGAATATGAAATTATATTGCAGAAAACATTGTTATTACCAGTGCCAGGAATATAAAGAAGAAGAGCACAGCAGCAAAATGGATAACATGATATCATTCCTGGCTCGGCACACTCATCCTCCCTTCTGCGTATTGGCCTCCATGTTTCCACAGCTGGATTGAAAATATGAAAAATAACTGTTGAACTAAATGGCACACCTGCAAGAATAATGCTTTTTATTCTATTTCTACCTTATTGTGTTTTCTCTTTGGATTGATGTTTATTATTTTGTCCTAATGCGGCTGGGAGGTCATCAAAATCAGCTTAAGAGCTATTGAAAAAAATTGGCCCTGTTAATAATAAAGCAATTAAATAATTTTATCCAACTTCATCCCCACACACAGACCATAGCCAAAATGTATAAATGGAATATTTTAAGCATAAATATTGAAGCCATTGAACCTTTTCTGTGGCCTGGCCAGTTGGAGGACTTATCAGCTGGATTTCTCAGGACAAATTTCATCATGACCAATCAGCAAACAGATCAAGGAGTAACGGTCAATCAAGTTTATCTGTATAGTACGTTTCAGCAGTAAAGCAGGTCAAAGAAAACGATCTATTACTAAGAACGAGTCTCTGCAATTTCACCAAAGCAATTTATTTATTTAATTTTTTGTTTTGTTTTGTTTTCAGATCGCCACGTTCTGGTTGGTAGTCGTCATGACAGCAACCAGGGAGGTGGAACTTCAGCCATTATGACTCAACTCATCGCAGCACTAACAGAGCAGACCAAACAGGGATGGGTGCCGGACCGTACCACTGTGTTCTGCTCATGGGGAGGCACAGCCCTGGGGAACATTGGGTCCTACGAGTGGGGAAAGGTCAGAGATACGTTTAGTTTCTGTAATGCCAGTTTTATGCTTATAGAGACAAGATAATAATAAATGGCATCAAACTTAAGTCTGGACTTACAAATGAAGTGGAGAGAGTCAGCTTTAACTTAGGAAATCATTGTGGAATGATGATAGGGTGACAAATATACAAACAGTTCCAGATGATAAACACTGTAGGAATCAATTTTTATTCACAAACTGACCAAAACTAATTCATAATCATTTCTTCTGCTTAAGACAACTATTAGTCGAGTTTGTTTTCAAAGCTTGCTGAATGTTTTGCTGAAAATGTGCTGTGATATTCTGTTATGTCGTTGCTTTGCTATTTTGAGTCTTCCTCATGTTAGAGACTGGATCCAGAAGAACTGAACTCAGGGCTGCTGGAACTCATCGTCTTCTTTCTTCACCTATCTCTTCTCCATCCCTGCCTTCTGCTTCCTTCTCTCTTTTCTTTGATTACTTCGCACTGATGTCCACTTGTGGTCATACAAGACTCATACCATGATTTATTTGTCTAGCTTGAGGTTAGCCAAAACACATGACTGAGTTATTTTACGACTCTTTGCTTAAGGTGGTGGGCTGGTCTGAGTCTGGACAGTGACCTTCCTGTTTTCTTTTGATCGTCCTCCTCCTTCACCAGAGGGAGGAGGTTACTCTGTTTTATGAAACTGTATGCTTCTTTTATGGTTCTGTAAATCAGACTTTTCCCTTGTTTTCTTGCTGAATTTTTCATTTTTCAGTATTCCAGTTTCACTTTGTCACAGTTTGTTCATCAATCTGATTTGATTCCCATTTTATTGTTCAATAAGTAAATCCCCTTTGTCTTTTCATTTGTAGCTGCATTGCATCTTAGTCATTAAAGAATTTTTTTTTCACAGAATAATTCAGCTGTAAAGTTTGTTAATTTTGTTAACAAAAGACTTGATTAGAAATCAGAGTTATAACTCCTTGTGTGAGTTTCTTCTGCTAGTAATCTGAATTCATTCCTTCATGAGAGACTGAGTTTGGCTTATGACCTCAGAGACCCTGGAGTTGGTGCCCTGATTAAGCTAAATAATTTTAATGTTCTTAATAATGTGTTAAATAATAAATTGAGTAAATTATTAATGACATAACCCAAACATTGATGCATCTTCTGATGCCCGACAATTATGATGTCGATCATAATTGTCGGTATTTTTTGCTTCCAGAACTTTGCCTCCCATCTCCTTTTTCTCTGCTATCCTGCAGGATAACAGTGTCGTCCTTCAGAGCAGTGCTGTGGCCTACGTGAGTCTGAACTCTCCAGTTCAAGGGACTGAGACTCTTCAAGCTACAGCATCTCCAACCCTGCTGCAACTGACCTCTGATATACAAAGGGTAAGTTCTTAGGCAATTTAATGATAAACACAACTGAATAATATATTCTCCAACAGACCCTCTGTGTTTTTGCATATACTGCAAAGACAATTTTTTTTTCTCAGTGTGACATTAAATCAAATCAAACTTTTCAATTTAGGATTACTGCAGTTAACTCTGTGCACTGAATGTCAAAATGACAACGTTTTTATTTTCCATCTATTATCATACCCATTTGTCCCTCGCCTCGCAGTGGCGCAAAAAGTGGGTATGCAGCACATGCAACGCATAGGGGCGCTGCACCAGAGGGGGCGTCAAAACACCGTCTGGAGGGGGCGGCGCCCCAATGATGCCTTCGCATACACTTCACCGCGCCCTTCACCGGAGGTTATGTTTTCGCATCCACCTGAATAATATGTAGTTGCGCCCCTGGTCCCTCGTGGGGTCGAGTGGGACCAGGGGCCCACTCGAGAGGCGGGATCGCCGGTCCATCCAGACATTTTTATTTTATTTCTTCAAATTAAAACATTTACTGACATTTCTCTAGTATTTGGTACAGTTACCTTTCAAAGTGCATAAATTGGGACAAAATATTTTGGATATCCTTCCAGAAGTTTCTCACAACAGTTTGCTGGAGTTTTTGCTCACTCCACCTGACAAAGATGAGTGTAAACAAATCATGTTTGTAGTTTTTTTTTTTCCACACACATTTTTCTGCTCTGCACACAAATTTTCTTTGGGCTGGAGGTCAAGGCTTTGTGGTGGCTCCTCCAAAACATTGACTTTGTTGTTCCCACAATGTTAAAACTTAGTTGAGGCAAGATTCGTTTGTGATCCAGCTTTATTTTACTGGCTGATGACTTGCAATCTTGTTAGAATATTTCTTCTTGATATTATTTCCTTTTGATTGATTGTAGTTTGTATAGTGCACCAGTTCCCTCCAACAGTGAAACGTCTTCTCATCATGATAATGCCTTATCCTTCACATTTTGGATTCTGTCCTGAGGTTTCTCCAAATGTATGATTGGTGATTTTAGCCAAGCACTTCAGCTTTAGTTTAATCTAATCAAATGGCTTGTCTGTGGAAGATACATTTTTGCGTACATTTGTGTATGAGAAAGCTGTAATCTGGATTATTATGCTGCTTTTGGACTGTCTGCTTCCTTTCTGAATGACCTTTTGGCCTTTGTTGGTGCTTCCTTTCTGAATGACCTTTTGGCCTTTGTTGGTACAGGACTCATCTCATAGAAGGGCATTCTCATGATGTCCATAGTTGCATACAATTGTTTGACTTGATGGACAGCTTCAGAAATATGGAAATTGTACCCAAATATGACCCAGATTTGTGGAGGTCCCTTATATTCTTCCTGATATATTTCCTATATGTCACAAGAATGCAGTCTGTTTGAGGTATTGCCTTGAAAAAGATGAACAAGTACACCTATATTATATATTTAGCCTCCATTTATACTCCAACCCATTGTACAAGACCCAATGGCTTGCTGTCAGCTGTCACCTATTTTTACCCACACTAATGGGTGAAACAGCAAAGTGTGACGCACCACTGGAAGGCTTGTTGTTGTCATTTGGTCGACAGAGAAAATTAATAAGGTGACTGCAATAATAAATAAAAAATGCATTTTTCAGATCATCTCCTATGCCATATTTTCACAACCTAATGACAGTTTTAACAAATATGTAAAAAAAAAATAAATAAATAAATAAATATATATATATATATATATATATATATATATATATATATATATATATATATATATATAACAAAACAAACAGCACTGCGCTTTCCTTCGCAGCTATAAACTCCGAGCTAGAGGAAGCTAACCAAATAAATAAAAAGTTCCAATATTTCAGACAAATAAACATAGTTTCAGATAACTTCATCATGTGCTCACCACCACATGGAGACACCAGGGAACTGAGCTGTGACTGACTTGGTAGTCAGGAGGGACGTGGCAACAGATATATCTGTAATTTAAATGCAAGTTAAGGTAAAACTGTTTGGACTAGTTCCAGTCCAGACAGGAGGCGTTTTTTTTAATTATCATTTTATAAAGATTGTTTGAATTTCTGTCAGTAATAAATATATTGTTTTTGTTGAGTAATTGTAAAAAAGAGCAAAGACACAGAGAAACCCCTATAGATTCACTGGAATGATGCTATTTAGGTTGTCATTGAACACAGTGTTGCTCACCTTTTTCACTGGGACAGGAATAAAAGGTTATACTGGTATTGGGGTTAGAGCTGCTGCTGACAGACTCACCTGTTAAGTGTGGAAAAAGTTACAGGGAAGAGATACAATATATGAATATGTTGGTAACTTTTGTTTTCTTAATTCATTAGATGCCAGTGAAATGGAGGCTAACAGTAGTCTGTAGCTAAGCTAACTATGCTAAATGGTTGACAATCTCACACAGTCTACTCACCTCTCGGAGAAAAACTGGGTTACAAATTGGCACGCTTGTCTTTTGTCTATTTTTTTGAAAACCTCACTTTATAATTTTCCTTAGCAGGTTAGTAACCGCCACAGTCTTTCTGATCTTCTACTGAATGCTGCTGAACACCGTCACTGTCAAGCACCAAGCAGGGACAAACCATTACATGCAGATCCAGGAGGGAGTTCAGTGCCAATATAGACATGTGCTTTTTGGTCTGCGAGGGGTAACATTTAATTTTTACTACTAAAAACAATTTTTTAAAATAGAATATAATCGACAGGGCCACAATTTTTTTCTACTTCTATAACCAAAAAAAAACCCAAACTATTTTGTAGGGGTCAAGGGCCCTTGGAATTGTTCTAACCCCCCCCCCCCCCCCATACATCACCCATGCAGACATATGCAAGACATTTCATTATCTCCTTTTAGCTGTTTGAGTCTCAACATTGCATTGTGCAAGTGTTTTTAGCATTGCAAAGATTAACATCCAGCCACCATGTTTTATTAAGTGGTTTTGGTCTTGGATATTTAATCACAACCGGAATGAGAAAACTCTTTGATCACCACCTTCCTGAAAGGGATTTGGTCAGAGCCGGCTCTCAGGATGAGAGCACCATCCTTGAGAATGATTTTTCAAGTGTTCCCAAAGAAAAAACTACCCTGGATGGGGGAGTTTGCTTTGAGGAAAAGAAAGTAGACTGTGAAATCACAGCTACTGCTTTGACTGGGAAAACATCACAAGACAGTACCCAGGCTGAGACCACAGTCCTTGTGAAGGATTCTTCCAGTGTTCCCAAAGAACAGACTAGCCCGGACGGGAAAGTTTGCTCTGAAGAGAAGAAAGTTGACGGTAAATCACTTTGAAAAGGAAGGCATTCAAAGTCAGTATGTTTCCAACTACCTTAGAATTGAGCAGTACCCTGGATGAGAATATCTGGCAAACCACACCACAAACAGAAAATGGTAATTTGTTTCAGTCTTCCCAAAGGAAAAAAACTAACCCAGACGGGGATGTTATGTCCAGTCACTGCATTGTTGGCATTTTGGATTATTTCGTTTTTAACCGGCACCTTAACATTCATTTGTTTGGCAGGCCCCAACACCCCTGTACAATATACAAGGGATAGCATTACGCCAATTAGCTGCTAATATACAAAATAACCCATGAAACCACAAGCATTTTCATTATCTTAAAGATAATTTGCCAAAACCGACATGTAAAACTTATCTCTGAATAGCTTAACATTCATCATCAACTCACCACATTGGGAATTACTGTAGTTAGAAAGTTAACTTAGCTTGCTTGCTTCAGTCAATGGTGACGTAAAACCACTTCTGGTTTGCCATCAAATCACTTTGACTTCATGTAAAACAAAGTGTAGAGTCCCCTAGTGGAATAGAAAGAGTGAATCCAACAATGTCTAAGACCTTCACCCCAGCTCTGATTGGTTGATTCTGACTGGGGAGTGGTGTATTTCTGCAGATGGCAGTAGGAAAGAGGGGTTCGATTTTTTTTTTTTTTTTTTTCCCCCAGATTATCTGTCTTATGTTTTACTGTCACAACATAGTGACGGTTTTAAAAAATATGGACACTATGACCACTGACAAACATATTTTTTTTATTAAATATGTATACTGCTGCTTTAAGCTGTCCCTCTATTGAATCTTGGGATTGTTTTGTTGATCTGCTTTGGCAGAGATGTTCCCTAACTTCTGCAGTCTCTTTTTACAATGGAAACTTTTGCCTCATCATGCATCATAAACGTTCTTAGTCCTTTTCTCCCTCTATTTCCACGTTCAACTCTTTTTTTAGCTCATGTTTCTTTAGCATCACCTCCCTCTCTCCCCACCTGCCTTGTTCTAATATCACTCCATAATCTCTTCCTTCATCACCTGCAGGCACTGCATCCCCACACCTTTCGATTTACATCATTAAAATCTCCCAATCACATCTCTCACTTCTTTAGTTTTTTTTTGGTTCCACAGATCACTAACGATATTGGTTTCATGAGAATAGTCATCTATCCACAGAGAATATATCCTCTTGCCATGGATCTAGAAAGATACATGATTTAAAAAGCGAACAGCTGCAGTTCAGTGTGCCATTACTCCTCTGCTGCAGCTTGAAGTAATTACTAAAAAGGCCTGGGCTGCTTTAGTCTGCTATAATGAAGTGAGAAACATCCTGATTTTTAAAGTAACGTCTCAACAGGAAAATAAATACAAAAATCAGCTAAGGTTGCACAATATTCTGCTGTGCTTTAATGAACTGAATGCAACAACACTTTTTGAATCCCCAAAGGAAAATGCCATTCTTGTAGTTTACTCAATTAAGGGAAAAAATAAAAAAAATAAAATCAACCACACTAAGTGACATAGAAACAAGTGTTTGTAGTTAAACCAAGACATACACAATCACATTCAGGATTTTTGCATTCTCTCCTACTCCTGCTCTTCATAACAAAAAAAGGTAACAACTAATGGCTATAAACACAGAGATGTTTTCTGATTGCTCTGGTGAAGGCAAGTTAAAAATCTGGGTAATCTGTATCAATTAAATCT